TATATGTCTTTGCATACAGATAATTCATACAAAACAACATAGTATAATACTGATCTGAATAGTATGAGAAAGGCAATTTAGGTCTTCAAAATCAGACAGCAGGGAAATCACTAATGGCTGCCATAGAGTCTCTAATTCTCTTCCAAATAGCTGTCCATACTTTAACATATATTGAAGTTCAACAAAACAAAACAGGCAGAGTGTTAGGGGTTGCTTGATTTTCTGGTGTCCAGGTCCCAGCATGGCACAGGTCCCAGTAAATGCCAGTGGCTCCCATCCTGGGCCACAGGCTCACAGCTGCTCACTTGGAGGGAGGGCTTGCTTGGTTTCCAAGTGCTCCAGGTGCCAGCATGGTGTGGGTCCCAGTAATTGCCGTGGATCCCTTCCTAGGCTGCCAGAGCCTGCCATGCTCACAGCCGCTCATCAGTAGGGGAACTATTACTTTGTTTCCTGACCCTCCAGGTCCCAGCATGTCTTGGGTCCCAGTAAATGCCAGTGGCTCCCGTCCTGAGCCTCCAGACCCTACCACAATCAGTAGTACGAACATTTGGTGTATGTAGACTGTTTTTCATCTGTACAAAAGAATTCTATCCTGTCATTTGCAGTAATGTGGAGGGAACTCATGTAAAGCAAAAGAAGACAAGTATAGAAAGTCAAATACTGCATATTTTCACTCTTTTATGGTACCTGCAATTTTCTAGCTCATAGAGGAAAAGAGTAGATCAGTGACCACAAGAGAATGAGGAGATGAGGGGAGATGGACAATGAAAAGAGGTAGACATTGGATAGCAAACTAACCGATTGGAAGAATTAGTTCTGGTGCTCTAGAGCAAAGTGGGGTAACTGCAGTATTTATCATTCATTTCAAAATAATTAAAAGAATCCAAATGTCCCCAACACAGAGAAATGATGTTCATTACTATGATTTGATTACTATACCCTGAATAGATGTATTAGCTCATGATTCTCTATCCTAATGTATAAATCTTGCACTTTTTGATTTTTAGGTTCATGAAAACGTTTGTTTGCCTAATATTTTCTCATTTCACATCAGGCTCTTGAAATCCAAGAGCTAGATTCATATTCCAGGACTTCTAGTTTTATTATCCTGTTTAACATCACCTTTAACTGTGATTCCTACTTAGTCAATTTCCTTTGCTGACTTTTATACTTACGCACTTTAACATCTATGCTACCAGCATCACTGAGCACATAAAGAAGGAAACCTGAATGTTTTGTTCATCCTCAACCTGAAAAAGATACTAGGTAGAATTGTTTCTGGAATGAAACTCTGGCTCATCATCTGGAAAAACACTGCTCTATTCCAGTTCATTAGCATATAATTTGTAATACAATGATATACTTAAACAGTCCTTTCATGAGTCCATGCATTAGCTGCCTTCAGCTGGTTTTTATTTCTGAAAGTATCTTCCACTTACATGTCCCACTATGCCAATGCTGCAACACACTGCTAGAAGGGAGGTAAGTTCTCCTATTTATCTATATGGATATATATTTGTGGAATGTTATTATTTTTCTCTTTTGAAATTATATAAATATTGCCTATTTGAATCAATGACAAAATTAATTTTTAGCCTTTATTTTTATTTGGTTATGTCAATTTTATTGGTGTTGCTTTTTATACTTTCAAATTTGTGACTCAATTGGTTTGTCATTTGAACATTTTTCCCATATAAATAAAAATTGAAAATTAGAGTATTTATTCTTTTCATTTTTGCCCCCAAAATATGTTGAATGTGCCATTTCAAGATCTTCAAGGCACCTGACATTTAAAATTTCATTCATCACCTTATTTTTGTATTGGATTTAATTACAAAATTTCAGTGTTTTCTATTAAACTTTTGGATATAGAACAACATGTGTTTTTAAGAGTACTAAAAGTATTGGGACTTTATTGTATTTGAAACATGCTTTTATTGTGAAGGTCAGCACAAGGACACAGTAGAGGACAGTTATTCAAGGCCTGACAAATAGGAATCAGATAATCTTCAGAGAAGAGCTGGAAAGAAAGATTAATTAATCTTTGGGTAAGCCAACAATGATGTGCTTCTTGTGATGCCCTCTTAAGAGCAAGTCTTTTCAGCATATGATTGCATGAGGTTTTATGGGGGCACCTAATCATAAAACATAACAGTGTCTCCCTGACTCCCAAAAAACTTGTATTTTTTATGTAAACTGTAGTTACTCCAACTCTTGGAGTTGTCAAAGTCTTAACAGTTTTGATACTGTTGGAAAGTTCACATCTATGAGACTAGGGCACACTCTAGTTATGACACTCTGTAAAAATCAAAAAAGTTTTAAGCACTTTTGACACATGATGGATCATGGTAATCATTTCCATTCCAAAAGGAAGAAAACTGGAGATTTAAAACCAGGGGGACAAAAGCAAGACTGAAATCCAGCAGGGCAAACATTAAATTCTATAGGTCCATGTCTAGTACTGGAGCAAGTAGTTACAAGGGGCTTCAGACACCCAAACACTGAGGTCACAATACCGAGAGGATGGTACTGCCTTTGGACAGCTGGAACCTGAAACTCACAAAGAGGTGCTTTTATCAAAGTCGCAGAGCTAGGAAGCAACAAAGCTAGGATTTAAACCTAAATTAGTAGGATTTCAGACTCTGGCTTCCATTCCACTGATCCTTCAAAGTGCCCTACACAGAACATTGGGAATCAAAGGAAGCCCCACCCTGATTGCCTAGAGGGTGGTAAGACACAGGCACAAATCTCCCTCAGTACTCAGCTGTGCAGAGCAGAGCCCTGGACATGCTGAGCACCTCTGCAGCTGCTTCCGAGGGAGAGAAATATGATCTATGCCACATCTCCTGTCCACCATTTCCCTGCAGCCCACAACACTTCGTGGTGCTTGCCTACTTGACTCATCAGGTGAGAGGCCTCTGCTATGTGTTATGGGCACATCCTGGTACCTAAGGCTCCAGCCTTTTCCTGGTATTGATAAATTGAGCAACTTTGCAGTTCCCATAGTTCCAAGGGCCAAAGGTTGGGACCTGTGCTGAGTATGGAAACTACCCTCCTAAGCATTCCAGAGGGTCAGCAAGTGCTGTTCCTTCTCACCTGCAGGAGACAGGAAGCCAGGTGAAGAGAGCAGCCCTGTAAGCAGGCACAGGGTTTGACATAGGGATGCCAGCCACATCCCAAGTGCAAGCCTGGTTCTTGGAGCTATCATACATACGAAATATATTTGTTCAATGAATGAATGAACAGGCATATCCGTAGTCCCACTGCTTGTTAGGTAAGATAAGGCAGGAGGATTGGAAATTCCAGACCAGACTGGGCTACTTAGTGAGACCCTCTCTCAGAAAAGAGAAGAAAAAGTGAAGCATGGAAGGCCATGGGGGTCGCACCTTAGAAAGATGACAATTTGCCTCTTTTGTGGCTCACCTTTGCCATACTTCTGTGACAGAGCTGGTTAGGAAATTATCCCTCAACTGGCTTTAAGCAATGCAAATGGGTCTAGCCAAGGTGCTGATATGTAGCCTTTGATGCAATGAGACAATGATGCCCCGCCTACAGCTTCCTCCCACTAAGCCTGAGCTAGGCTGAGAGATGCTGGGCTGAGCACTGAGACTGAGCCTTGAAAAAGACAGCATGAAGTCCCAGGCAGAAAGGCCAAACATCAGTGCAGAACCAGCTGATCCAAACCACAAGATATTCCCTCAAACTGTGTTATGCAGATTCCTCCAAACTTAGAGATTACCTGTTACTTGAACCTGAAACTTTCTACACACCTCTCTCTGCATATTGCAGAAGTACCATTGTGTCTCCAAACTCACAGTACTGCACAGTTCACAGCCTTCAGCATTCTCATGGTCACTCAGTCCTGAGCCACTCTCCTTTTCAATAATGAATAACAGTCTAGCTTGTGAACCTTGCTCTGGTTAGCCGTTGTTGGACAGCACCTAGGGTTAGAAGAAACTTCTTTTCTCTTTATTTTCCCCCTGCCTTGCACTAGGAGTGCTAGGAATTTACTTATTTCCAATAACTTAATTACAATAACTTTTCCCTGGAATTAAAAATATAAATTACTCTGTACCTTTAAGAAGCCGAGATGGGCCCCTTTTGGAGAAGGAAGAAAAGGGAAAGGAAAAATAAGAAAAGTAGAGGAGAGGAGAGCAGCTTCCAACCTGTACAAGCCTCCTCTGCTTCAGAGCCCATAAGGTGAGGATGTCAAGGTGCCCATGAGCAAATGCCATGAGCATTTGCCTCACATTGCCCAACAACAGCTGTTTCCCAGGGGCTCACAGATTGCTGGATTCATCAGCACAGAAGGACTCAGAGCAGCTGAAAAGACTCAGGCCAGAAAGCATTCTCCTCCTGTGTGTTCAAACTTCCCAAGGGTTTTTCCCCCACTCTCAAGGAAGCTTTGCCTCCTTTCCATTAGCAAAACACAAGTTCAGAGGTGACTCCACACCCACCCTTAGCCACACATCTCCCCCACCTAAGACCTTCTGTCCCACGTCCGCCATCCTGCCCCTGCCTTGTCACGTGCCAGCCCACCCCCAATCCCTTGGCTCTGTTTTTGTGCTATCTTTCTTCTGACTCCTCTCCAGTAGCCTACAAAAATGCTCTGGCATTTTTCACCTCATTTAAAAATAAAAACAAAAAATTCAGCAGGGTATGATGGCGCCCACCGTAATTCCATCCCTTAGGGAGGCCAAGGAAAGAAGATTGTGATTTATTAAGCCATGGGTGGGAAACAGCTAAGGAGTGGTATCAGAGCTCTTGCCCAGCACCCATGGAGCCCACATTTGATCCTCAGCATAAGGAAGGAAGGAAAACAGGAGAAGTAGCAGTTTGATTGCATACCACTGAAAGAAAACGAATCTCATGGAGATACTCTTAGAAATGGGTAAACACATGAGCATGACCACTTAAGAAAATGATAGATCATCCCTTTATTCTGAAAAGTGATTATCTTTTTTACAATTTTTAATTTTTATTAATAGCAGTTTGTAGCTCATGATGATCATATGCCTTAAGGATCTATGTGCATCACACATCTTCTTATCCCCTTCCCTTCCCATGAAAGGTGTTAACTAAAGAAAAGGGGGGAAATATTCTGCTTTTCCTTGAGGAACAACCTTTCCAAATGATCCATTAATGCTGAGGATGGAAAGTCTTCCTTACTGAATATTCCCAGGCAAAAAATGATGAAGGAATCAAGGAACTTGGTGACTCCATTTCATTAGCATCGAAATAAAACAGTGGATTCAGACAGCAATATCAAAAGGACAGTAAAACCATCAGGGGAAATGTTGCCAAATGAAGTAGTCACAAGATGCCGAAGTATCATCCATGGATCAATCTGTGGGTCATGAAAATCAGAAGCAACCTTGAATGTGAGGAAGCAGCTGTGATGTAGCATGAAGTGTGTGGCACTGTTCATGTTACAAAGGTTCCAAAATTTCTTCACTCTAGGGAGCAGGACCAGAAAAACCAGCCCATGAACATGGGGCTGGAGTTGGCACCATGCAAGGTTTGAGAGGAAAAACTAGCCCAATAGGGACAGGCCAGGGAGCAGGGTATGGACAGAAGAGCTTGCACTGCACCCTCAGGACTAAACCCATCTTCCCTCCCCCATTAGACTAGGATTGAAACTGTGGCCTATGAGGGGGGAATGCCCTCGGTGGACACAGAATGGTCTCTTGTGATCTTAGAGAGGAATCCAGGGGACAGGCCTCAAAGATGCCACTCAGTCCTGCTACATGACCTCAGATACATGGTCACAGCACTCTTGTGCTGTGAGACTGGGGAATTGGACTGGAGATCACTCACATGGCTTCCTGATCCCCATACTTTATAGCTTTTGGTCCAGAGGACTCTTTTATTGCTCACAGATGACATATATGTCCCCAGAGAGCTTTAGGCAACAATGTTCTATGTCCTCCAACTGCTCCTTGAACTTCCCCTGCTGCATGACCCCCACCAAATGGAGCCAGAATGGCCCCTCTTCCCCCACTCCCCTCTGCCCAGCCTAACAGGACACTCTCACTCACCTGCAGGTTTTCAGTGGCCTCATGATGGGTTGCTGCCTTCCCTCAGGACCACACTCATCCTCTCTGCTGGACCCAGGGCACTTCCTCTTGTTCTCAATCAGGGCTGCCAGGAAAGCCAGGCACTGGCACTGTTGCCCCTTCTATCTCAGCTGCAGGTGCAGCTAAGCCATCTCTTGCTGGGCACTGGCATCTACTAAAAATGCTGTAATCCAAAAACTGGGATGTGGTGAGGGATTCTGAGGAAAAGCTGAAGCAAAGAGAAGAAAGGACCCAGTCTGTTGCTGTCCATGGCTGTCCATGTCCTCAGGGATGTCCTGTTGGTTCATGTTGGGCATGCCTTTCCTCCCCTCCATCTTCTACTGGGGGAAGCCAGCACAACCCCTAGTCAGCCCCACAAGAGCAGTAGCAGCTCCCCTCTACCCAACCCACCTCTGTCCCCTTGAGACAGGGTGACCAGTCCAATACACTAAAGGTCTCTCTGTTACCAACAGAGATCATTATGCTGCGCTCTGCCCCCAGGTTTCTTCACTCACCTTGCCAAGGCAGAGTGAGGAGGCTTAGCAGGAGCCACATGATGCTTCTGATGTTTGGTAGTTTCCAGATGTTGTGGTCAGAAGAATGAGAACCTGAAAAGGCACACAAGGGGCCAGGTCTCCCATGCAGGGACCTGACCACAACAGCTCCATCACCTGGGTCTCCTGCAGCTCCTGACAGAACTTGAGCCTGCTCAACATCAGCCTGCTCTGCATCTCCTCATGCTGCAGCTATACCATACTAGAACCTGGGCAGTGCCTGTTTTTTAGAAGTCAGCTGCTTCCAGGCTTCTGTATGCTGAACAGGTGGGACAGGAGCTGGTCTCACGCCTGCTATAGGCACTGTGCCACCCAGTTCTTCAGTGCCATATGTGAAATGCCCTGTGCTGAGGCTAGGGATGACTTGCTGGTTCTAGACTGAGGAAATAAATAGGGTTCAGGGGACATATAGGCTCATGAAGCATGATCTGCACTGCCCTAATAGTGCATATTCACTCGCTTTTATCAATAGAGTTGGGGCCACTTGGTGCACAATTGTTCTGTTAAAAGGAAATTTGCAAGGTGATTAGTGGACTTCCATCAGAATCACCCGAGGTGAAGGTAAGCCAAGCTATCTCTGACCAGTTTCCACCACTGCTGACCTCTGAGAAAATCCTTTTTGTGGTCTCCTCATCACAGTCTCCACAAAGAGCAGGGTTCCAAAACAAACCCCATGAGAGAGGAAAAGAGACTCTGTAGAGGACACAGATCTTTGGGAAGGAGGGTGCGGTGAGCACAGGAGAAGATGACGTGCAAAACAGAAAGTGATGCCATTAGGGATAGTCGCTCCTTGGAAAGGGACATGGTGTCAACAGGAGAAGGTAGTGCAGGAACAATGTGGCCTTTTGTGGATTGCACAGAAGAAAGCAGGTTTACAAGGACCATGAGGAAAAGAAGATGCCTGTCAGAGTCATAAGGGGGCAGTGCAGACAGGACAGTGTTGCTTTGGACAGAAGAGGGTGACATATGCTGAAAGATACTGGTAATGTAGGTGACGGTCACCCAAGTTCGTAAAGCTGCATGTATTTCAGAGTCCAAAGCTCAAGGCAGTGGCTGACAGCCTACTTCCTTCACCCTGATGACCTTGCTCAGCAAAAGACTGTCCAGGTTGGGACCTGGGGCAGCCACAGCAGGCAGAAGGAAGGTGTGCAGAAGTGAAGGAGGCTCTGTCCCTCCAGAGAACCACTCTGTGTCACACTGACCCTGATCCACATTTTCATTTTCAATGCCAGATTCCCCAGTAAGGGATCAATGGGACACTGGGGCTCAGCTGAAAATCAAGTTTTAGAGATGCTAAGGCCCAGGGGAGGAAGTGATTTTGCTGATGTCACCCTGGCAAAGAGGACTCAAAACATCTTCTCCCAATCCTGGTGCCTGGGGCTCCCCTCACATACCTTGTGGGGCTATCAGAGAGCTTGAAGATGAGTAGCCATTCACACTGGGCTATTTTACTTGGCTGAGGTATATCAAATAGCAACTTCCACTTACATAATGTTTCCACTAGGCCCTAGTGAACAGACCTAAAAGCATTTCATTTGACCTTAAAGCGTGTAGGTAACATTTTCCCTCTGCTCCTTGCGTCCCTCCCTTCTTTTTCTCTTCCTTTGTTTCCTCCTCTTTTCTTGTTTCTAAGTTTTTTCCTGTTTTTCTCCTCTTCTCTGCTGTTCTTTTTAGTCTTCTCTCCTTTCTTTCCCTGCCTCTGTATTTTTGGAGTGCTGGTGGTTCAGTGTCAGAGCTTGCTACAAACTTGTCAAGCACCCAACCACTGAGCTATAGCACCCATAGATGCCAAATTAAGGATTCTTAACAAGCACCTGACACTTTCCTCATCTGAACCATGACCATCTGCTACCATTGGAGCCCCCAGTGCCAACAGTCTGGCCACCCAAACTCACTTCCTCTGATGAGAGACAATCACCAGCAGTGCCTGGCCCAAGGTGATTGCGGTTTTTAACCTTTTTCTTCTGAACCACTGCAAGATCACCAAGGCTGTCCTTTACTCACAACTCTCTCAACTGTAGAAAGAAAGAGCAGTATGCTCATGAAAAAGATAAGCCCTTGTGTGCCCATCTTCCCACGCAGCTTTTGCAAACTACCTGTGTGCACATTATTTGGTGCAATCCTACAAGGTCACCTCTCCATTCCAACAGCAGCAGGGACTGAGGTCCTCAGACATGGGGCTCAGGGAGATCTAGTGTGTGGTCTCACGAGGGGAGGGAAGAATCCCAAGAGTTGACCCAGGAGTAACTTCTAGAGCTACCCAAGCCATGGGAGTGGGGCATGGCCAGTGAGAAGAGGGACAGTGAGGGGCCCTGGTGGAGGAGTAAGAATTTATCTCTATGCTCCACCTGGGTGGCACACACACTGATCATGCAGCAGTAATCTCTAAGAAACTTAATCTTTGTGTAGGGGCTGCAACACGGAATGATTTACCTTTCTGAAGAGCTTGAGGTAGGATGGGTGCTATAACATCCTTAATGGTCATGCAGAATTCAGCAGTCAATCCATCCTGTCACGCAATATTTTGAGTTGATGGATTCTTTATAATTGTCTCAATTTTATTGCTTCTAGTTGGTTGTTAAGCATTTTGTGTCTTCTTGGGTTGGTTTTGGTAATTTTCATCATTCTAAGAATGTTTTTTTTTTTCAAGTTTTCTGCTTTATTGGAATAGAGTTTTTCATAACAATTACTATCTTCTGGATTGCAATAGCCTGCGTTATGATTTCACCTCTAATTGAATTGAAGTCTTTTTCTCTTTTTGTCTAGGTAAGTTGGGCTAGGGGCTTATCTGTATTGTTTATTCTTCTTTAGAAACGGCTCTTCACTTTGTTGATTGTATTGATTTAATCTCAATTTTCTTAATCTCCACTCTGAACACTACTTTTCCCTTCTTAGGTTTAGTTGTAGGATATGTTGTTATTTCTTGAGGATCTTAAGGTTTATCATCAGGCCATTTATTGGAATCTGATGTTTTCTCTTTTTTTTGTTTGTACTTTATAGAAAAAAAGTAAAACAAGCTTTTATAACAAAAAATTGAAGAAGTATTAATACACTGCATAGTGTTATCTTTAAAGTAGTTATTCCTAAGTATTAATGATGATGAACTTCCCCGTTAGGGCTGCTTTCATAGTATCCCAGATGTTGTGGTATTGTCCTTCAACTTCCCACAATATTCTGATGAAATCTCAGTATTGCATTAATTTGCCTCTCTCCATGAACAGTGATGTCGAATATTTTTTCATATATATATTTTCCATTTCTACCTCATCTGAGAAGTGTCTATTAATTTAAGATACCTATATTTTTATGGAGTCTTTAAATTTGGGTGGGTCTGATTTTTGCGTTTTAGTTTTTTATATGTTCTAGATAGTAGTCCTTTGTCAGAGCAACAGCTGGTAATTTTTTTATTCCAAGCTGTGGTTGGTCTCTTCAGCCTTCCATTGGTTTCTTTTGCTGTGAAAAAGCTTTTTAATGAGATGAGATCCCAGTTATTGATGCTTTGAGTTTCTACGCAATCAGGGTTTTCTTCATATTGCCTTTGCCTATATAAATGGCTTCAAAAGATCTACTTATTCTACCAGCATATTTACTGTCTTAAAATTTTAATCTGTAATCCATTTTGATTTTACCTGAGTGCATAGTGAAACACATGGGTCTAGTTTTAATCTTCAGCATGTGAAAAGCCACTTGTTCCGGAACCATTTACTAAACAGCCTGTATTTATTCCAGTAAAAGTGTTGGGGGACTTTTTTTTGAAGGTAAAGTGGCTGAGAATGCTCAGAGTTGTTTTTACATCTTCTAATCTCTTACAATGATAATACATGGGGTTTTTTGTGTGTTTTTTGCTTGTTTGTTTTTGTTGGGTTTTTTTGCCAGTATCATGCAGATTTTTCTCAGTAATTTTGTGGTATAATTTCAAGTCAGGATTTGTGATGCTCCCTGCATTGCCTTTGTTATTTTTGTTCTTTTCTGGCTCTAAATGAAGTTTTGGATTGTCCTCCCTAATACTTGAGATATACTGTTGGAATTTTGAGGACTGCATGGATTCTGTGTAAGAATTTCGAAAGTTTGCCCATTTTTACTGTATTGGTTTGTCATACTCGGAGCAAGAGATGTCTTTCCCTTTTCTGATATTCTCTTTGGTCTTCTTTTTAAGAGTAGGGTAATTTTCAATATACAGTTCTTTTATTTTTTCATTAGATTATTAGTTATCTCATTTTTTGGATGTTATTGTGAAAGATTTTTTTGCCCTAATTTCTCTTTTGATGTGTTTGTTATTCATGTACAAAAAGGTTGTTGATTTTTTTAGTGCTGGCATGGCTTCCAGACATGCTGCTGTAAGTTGCTCATTAATCTTTTGGTGAAGTTTTAGGTCTCTTCTGTGTAGAGTATCATGCCATCCACAAAGAATGATAATTTACACTTTTTCTTTCTCTTGTCTAATTGCTCTAGCTAGTATTTCCCAACTATATTAAAGAACAGTAGTAGTAATGCACATCGCTTTGTTGGTCTGTATTTTAGTGATATCTTTCAGTTTCTGTCAATTTAGTATTATGTTAGATGATGGCTTGACTTGTATGGTTTTTATCTAATTGACATAAAAATGCTTATTCTGCTTTTCTGTAGCACTTTGAACCATGAGTGGCTGTTAGACCTTGTCAAATGTTTTTCTGCATCTATTGAGATAATATGGTTTTTGCCCTTGATTCTGTTAATACAGTCTTAATACATTTATTCCTTTACATATATTGAACCATCTCTGTGTCCCTGGGATAAATTCTACTTGGCTGTGATGTATAATCTTCTGACTTGCCTCAATCTGTTTGTCACTATCTCATTGAGGATTTCTAAACATATCTTAAGAGAGATCAGTCTGTAGCTTGTTTTCGGTTGACAATCCTTGTCAGGATTGATGTTGGGGTAATACTTCCAGGAAGGTGTTTGTAGTATTGCTTGTCTTTCAGTTTCATTAAATAGTTTGACAAAAGGACATTAAGTTGTCTTTAGATATCTTACAGAATTTAGCAGTGAATCTATGAGGGCCTGGACTTTACTTTGTTGGTACAATTTTTCTTTACGCAACTTAATACATGGATATTT